TTTTTACCCCCCCCCCCCCCCTCCGGCTCCACATATTTATGGAGTGTTTGATCCCGGATTTAAGACTGGGAAATCTAGTCACCTTATTCTTTCTCCGCGTGTGACACATGCGCTTCACAATCGCACACGTCAGCCACGTGTTATCGCGATCACTGCGAGACGGGAAGATCAGATAACTGCGACATCGATTTGTGCAGCAGCTGACCGGCTCTGCAAACGTTTGAAACTCAATGCCGATAAACGCGACGGTCGATCGGAATGTACGCGATACGCGACGGAAGCAGGCCGGCGAAAACGAAGGCCGCCGACGTGTCTCTTAATTGTTCGGCCGAGCGACGCCGAGTTTCAGCGCTGCTTCGCAGCCGCCCGGAGTATTATCGTATGAAAATAGGCGGATTAATTGCCGGCCGCGCGCAATCGCGATCGGCGAGAGGCATCGGCAGACATTAGCGCGCGATTTTCGCGCGATATTCGATTATATCATGGCGCATGTGCATACATAAATGCAAAAGCGCGCCAATCACGCGATTCGTGCGTTATTAACGAGGGCAGAATTTTAATCGCCAGTTAATGCTAAGGAGCGTCCGATCTCTCTGCGAGCCGTTACACGCGTCGTCGTTTTCAAAGGTGTTGCGAGTGTGTAACATGACGCTTCTTGACGAACGGAAATTAACTGCGATACAGTGCTGGCAGTTCGAGAGTGACGTAGTAGCCTGATGTAAACAATTTCTAATGACGATTTTAGGCGTAAATAAAGGGTTTATAGTATGAACCCTCTATGAGGCTGCTACGTCACTCTACGCATACGTAGGTTTCTGGTCGAGAGAAAATTCTCCCGAACTGCCTGCATTGCTGCGATACGACTTCGAGAGTACACCAGGGTGTCGATTTTTCCCCTGGCATGAACTTCTGAAAAATGGAAAATTCCAAATTTTCATTGTTCGAGAAGTTATACGATCGCGAGAATCGCTGAGTTTTTGTGAAACTTTTCCGCTCTTTTAGAAAAAAAAATTACATGATCCTTATCCAAAAGTCACATGTGCTTTAATTTTATAATTAGGATTGCGCGACCTTTTATTAATGATAAATTCAGGGTCAGGAAATATGTGACAGACTGCATTATGCCGGGATTACGATCAACTTCACGTAACGGGACGCGACGGGACGTGAAGTGACGTGACGTGAATTTGACGTTTGAGGTTTGTTTTAAAATTACAATCACCGTAAAGTTGATCGTAATTATAAAAGCCGCATATAAAACAACGTGTTTTAGGTTTTGCGTCACTTCACGTCCCGTCGCGTACGTGAAGTTGATCGTAATCCCAGCATTACTCTCAAACAACGTACTCACGATACGTCCCGACGATCGCTATTTTTGACACATCAACAAGATCGATATATCCAAGATGGCCGCGCAGTCCATATCACGTGCGTCAAAAATGCGCACAGCCGCATGAATGACGTCGCGTCACGCTCAGTTCCGCGAATGTAGAAACGAGAAAGACAGCTGTCCCGCAATCTTCGAGACTTCGTGATCGACCGATATCTCGCGGTCAATCGAGATCTTGCGATATACCGCAGCCGTGAAAATGTCCGAGTCACGCGAATTCCGTGCCGTCCACGACGTTCATCTCGCAGGGAAGCGATTCTCGCGGTGATAGAGCGCGCCGATCGATTGTGCCGCGCAAAGTCGGCGTCCTCGCGGGCCGGGCGGTGTAACGAAGATTTCGGCGACGAAAAACTGGTTCACTTATCGCCGGGAAATGACACGCGCGAACGCGGCTGGGAACGACATGGTCAATGGCGGCGGTAACGGCTGCGACGGCGGCGTCATCGCGAAGAAGTCCTTGGTCCGCGTCGGCAGGTATCGGATGCTGAGGCCCCTCGGCAAGGGGAACTTCGCGCGCGTCGAAGAGGCCATCCACACCGTCCTCGGAGTCAAGGTAAGTGTGATAAACTCGAATCGCCGGGAGCAGCGCGGCGAGAGAGCCTCGTATAACCTCGACGCGGCGCGGCGCGTAACTCCATCCGCGCCTCCTCGATCCTCGGCTCGAAAACGGAGAACGCTCTGCTCGCGCGCGAAACAGGCGAAAGCTCCCTCGCGGGACTAGCATAAATCTTTCAACTCCGACGCGGGACGCAACGCGATCGTGAGAAAGCGCGCGTCCGGAGGATGCTCACCCCTTTCGACCGGATATTCTTTTTTCGCGGGGTGCTCCCACCCGGTAGCGGGGACTCTGATCGCATATCGACACTTGGAGCTTTCGTTTTGCGAATTTAGCGCCACGGACCATTTACGCGTCGACGCGTGCGCAGCGCTGGCAGAAAGGTTACAATCAGGGCAACGATCATAAGTCTGTTTCTTTTTAGCTGAACTGTCTGAATTGGTGCATGCTGATGCAACAAGTTAGAGTGAGACAAATATAGAAAGGAAAATATCCTGAATAGTGATCGAATGTTGGACTCGATGAAAATTTTCTTTGGTCAAGACAATCAACAAATCAATAACCGAGATTAATCAGTCGTCGTATGTGTGATCATGAATAATTCCATGATTTGTGAAATCAGTTACTAATCAACCACATCAAAGCTTGATTAATAATTAATTTCACCAATTGAGACGAAATTGTTTGAGATTTCATATATGACGATTGATTTGCCCATTATTTTGGTCAAAGGAAATTTTGATCAATTAATGGTCAATGCTGATTGCAACATCTGTTTCCCCAATGAGTTTCGCGCAACATGCCCGCAAATTTCCGTCATTCGTCAAATTTCGTCACAGATCTTCAATAATTTAACTTTTTTAATAATTCCAAGGAGAGAAATTTTGTTGTTGAGTACCGACCGCGCGCGCCTTCTGACGTTCATCGAGATAAAAGTGTCGCAATCTTCCTGCCCGAACTGGCCGGAAGATTGCGACACTTTTATCTGGATGAACGTCAGGCATTGCAATCCGAAAACGTTCTCCTCGAATCTCCGTAATGAATTTTAACTCTAACTCTAATTAATTGGACGCTTAGCCTACGATCGTTACGGCCGAATTTCTCATCTGTCGTGAGTCAACTTCCCGGTGCAAATAAGGACGATCACGTGACATTACAGACCTTTTGTAAGACCACCGTCACTCGCGTAGATCTCGGAAATTATTCCGCGCCATGACGAGTGCGTCAATCCAAAATCTTATCGGCGCGCGTAATGTTTCAGCCAGCGGTGGACAAATGCCGCAACGTAGAACGCAACGCGAAGCACGTGTGCGTATGTGCACGTGCACGTCTCTTGTCCCATTTTCACTTTTATCGAGGAGGAATCGTTTCCAGCTTACGTCAGACGAGAGATAGAAAGAGAGCGAGCGTGGTCAGGCTTGAGTCTCTTCGCAGAATTAATCACGCCGCAATGCGAGCCAGACATTGTGATTTCCGGCGCGGACCGTCGAGTCATTCCTCTGGAATCCGCGCACCGAATCTCACGGATAGGGGTGAGGAAAAGGATAATCATCCGAAGGAACATTGAAAATGGAGAGTCTTATAAAGAGAAAGTGATAAACTCGATCACGTGGCCGAATCTCTGATTGATTCCGGGCGTCAAAAAGTCCCTTATGTAGATATAGAATAAATACAGAATAGGTAAGAAAAGTTAGCTTGTGAAATTGAGCTTGGATTGTCGCGCCAACAGATCAGAAGAGATCTTTTAATATGTGTTCAAGCATCAAGTTCAAGTACACATCTCTTCTGATAGATAAAGGCCTGTATTATAATAGTCGTTACTCGAAACTGGTCTCACGTGAAATACTCAAATTTAAATTCAGAATTGGATCTAAATTTTTCCGGCAAATCATATGATACATGCGATCGAGTTTGCCACTCTCTCCCTATGAGGCTGTCTAGTTGAGAACGCACATCAAGTGTTGCGCGAGCTTCATCGCAACATGACGACATAAAAGCGAGACAAGTTCGAGACTTTGACCATGCCGCACCCTCGCTCACGTTTCTCGCTCTTCTCAGGCGTTTTCGTTGCGCGTTTCGTACCAGTTTCTGAATATGAAACTGACGAAGGTCGAGCATATGACATTCCTTGGCGTGCGATATCACGCAATGAAAGACGAGCGTCGGGTTTCTGAGCGTTTCCTTCTCTTTGTCCATCCCAAACACCAGCTCGCGCGCGGGAGCCCATCTTTGTGTGGGAACCTTTCTATTAAAATATTCCACTTGGGGGGGATTATCTGATGGCCGCGATAGCGATCGATAGCGATCGCCGGAGACCAGACCCCGTTGAACGCCGGTGCGCCAGCGTCGTCGATTTATTCCGATACTCAAACCTAATTTGTACGGCCCGCTGATGAAACCGGTAGTTTATCCTTGTGAGTGGGCGAACGATCGCCGTGTAAACCGATCTCCCGCGATAAGACACGCTTATTTTTGGCTCGTCAATTCATAATTCAGTATTATAATCTCGGTAATTGAGTCAAAACCCACTTCACAAATCGACTGAAACATGAATAAGTTATCGCTGTATCGGTGATGTTAACCTCTTCGGGTGATTTAAAATGTCTGCGCGGGTTTCTTTTTTAATAGACATATCTATACGGAAAAAAACGTTAGATTAATTTCTGGGAAAAAATACGAACGAGCCAGGAAATTCCGGTTGGAATCACCAGAAGCCTGGTGAAGTAAACCCGAAATCTAGTTGAACAAAATTCTGGCTACTTCAACCAGAATTTTCGGATTGTTCGTATTTCACCAGAAATTACTTCAATCAAAAACTTTCTTTTTCGGATAGATTTCCATGCTCTTTATTGCTATTTCCCTCGAAAAATTTTGAAAACTAAAAATATATCCAATTTGTATTTTGTTATGAAGTGAAAAAAATACAACAGTTTAAGTGAATCGAAATTTAATATTTACCGTGAAACTTTGTCATCTAATACAACGCTTAAGAGGTCGATTAAAAAGATATACAAGTTGAGAAGATATAGATTTCAAAGTTCTCGCTGCAGAGTTACTTTGGTTTTTTTTCAAACAAAGTGTCATCGGGATCCAATGGCCAATTTTAGTTTCTGAGTGTGTTCTTTAGCACTTCGAACTGCTTGTAACGATTTTATGACATTTCTGTCGCGCGTCAAGCGACCGTCTCAGCGAGCGAGAAGCGACACGCCGCGGAAAACTGTCGGCTGCGATGGAAAATAATGCGCAAGCATCTGGCATCGTTCATCGCGAGGAAAGACGAGGGGCAGGGTGATTAAAGCGGCTGAGACCAAACGACGGAAACGGCGCGGTTTAACGAACGGCCGGTGGAAATGCGCGCGGTACGGATGAGGGGGAGGAAGCGGTCTTCGAGGAACGATAGACAGCGATCGCTACGGGGAAATCGTTTGCGGTTATCTCGTTGAGAAGCCGATAACGCGCCTCCGTGTGGTTTCTCTCCACTTTCGTGTCACGCCGGGAGTCAGCTGACGACGACGACGGCGATGACGATGACGGCGGCGGTTTCGAGCTTCATGAGACACGTAAAAAAAAGAAGTCGCTTTCGATCGTAGCGCGTCTAACGAGGTTCCTCGAGTTTCCCCGAGGTACCTCTTCCCGCTGATGATGGCAGCGGACGTCGTCATCGGTCGTGGCCGATATCGAACTCCGTTCTGCGCGAATATCCCGCACGTCGTACGTGCAGCGAGATCGATTGAAATAATATCGCGTATCCGGATGTGAGACTGGGATGCGCGACTGGGACAAAATGTCCAGTACACTAAAAAGATTATTTTTGTACATAACGACAAATCTTTTGGCTGAAATTACCAAACATTTAGTTGATCCTATTTTAATCTAAGTATAGTCCCCGGTATCGGATTTTCGTCTCGACAACAAAGTCCTTTTTTCAGTGTAGCACTCATTATGGTACTCACCAGTTTTCGACATTCTTACTCAGATTTTATCAAGTATTCAAGTATATGGAGATTTATTAATTATTTATCAATTATTATTTGTTATTTATTTATCCGTTTAAGTCGCCAAACACCCTAATTTGATGATATCCGCGAAAGAATACGACTGGTCGTTTTTCTCTATAAACCTGTGACTCGATGTACTTGGAGCGAGGAAAATATTCTCGAGGGTGTTTTCAGGGAGGGAGCGAAGAAAGAGAATCCCCTTGAATATCCTCGTATACGTCCGGAAAATATCCTATTTTCTAAATTTGTTAGAATGAAATGTTAATTGCATGGAGAGAGAATATTCACTTTTTTCTATATAATTTTTTTTTCTACTACGTTCCTAGTAATATAGAAATAGATTATCAGCTAGGTCTATCTTCTTAAAGAACGTAGCGCCTTATCTTGAACTCTCTTTTATCTCTAAACATAAAATTGAAAACCGATTAAAATACTTATAAATTATTTTTATAGAGATATTTTTGTAGATAAGAGTTCATAGTAAAAGCTATAGTAAATATAAGAACATGAGAAATGCTTTAGTAACACATCTCAGCCGTTAAAACATAAATAGCACGTGTGAGATAAAAACTTCTATAAAATTCTACAGCAGTTTTCACTATAAAATTCTTTTCGTGCAGGACTGCAGTTTGGAGTGAATTTTTAATTAATCGCATGAGGGAACGTTTCAATCCACTATTTGGAAAAAAATTCTTGATATTGCATGACACAATAAAATTGTGGAATTTTACTCGATAAAATTGAAAAAATATTTGCAGGAATTGTCATCGTGCGTAACTTCAAGATAAAAAAAATAACGGCATTTCCGCAAAATCCGCCGGAGATCTGAAACGTTTCATTTCACGCAACATGAAGTATCACGCGATATCTCACGGGCATTTTGCTGACATCGAGGCTGTTTCATATCCCGAGTAATATCCCGCGCGGAGAGTACGATTTCGACGATCGCTCAGGAAACATAATCTGAGATTATTCGTGCGCGCATATTCCGCATTAGGC